GGTGGGGAAGGGGGAGATTTGGGAGGGGCTCTGGGCCAGTGGCAGGAGAAGCCGCTCGCCCCGTGGGTGCTGGGCTCATGGCCGGTGGGGACGGCCGTTGCTCGCTGCGGGTCAAGACTCTGTTTGCGCCATGCAATCGGAGATAAGCGCTTCTCTTCCTATTGCCAAACCCGGGGCCTTTTACACCAGCCAAAATGAATTTCCAGCTCAGTCCTGCTCCACTGTCTCCCACCGTGCCATAGCAAGGGTCTCCCACAAGGAGAGAGCCTGCCGAGGCTCAGCACTTGCCGGTTTCCCCCTTGACAGGACCGAGCTGGGAGCCATGGCCGAGCGCCGGGCGGGCAGCCGCCAGCCCCGGCGAGGAGCTGCCATGGGCATCTGAAATAGTGCAGAGGGTGCAGGACTTCTTCAGGGAGCGGGACAAGGACCAGGCGGGGTTTGTCACCCGCTCGGACATGCAGGTGAGGGATGGGGATGTCTTCTCGTGTCAAATGCCACCGGGGTGGCTGGAGACTGGATGATGGGTAGGGTTTTCCCCCTGGTTTGCTGTGTTCTTAGAAATTGCAGGAGGAAGATTTCCCGTGCAGCACGGAGGAGCTGGAGCTCGTCTTCGATGGGCTGGATACTGCTGGCACTGGGCGGTTATGCATCGAGGAGTTCACTGCCGGGCTCTGTAAGTGCCAGCACGCTGCCTCCAAGCAGCCCGGGCTGATCCTGGACACGGCCCCGGTGCTTTCCCGGGGGGACTTGAAAAGCTCCCCTTGCTGGATGGCACATGATGGCCCAAAAAGTGTCCCCATGCCGAGGTCTCAGCCCATGGCTCGCCTTGAGCAGCTTGTTGAAGCCATGGGGTGGAAAGTGTTGGGGTTTGGGCTTTGCTGTCACCCTGGCTGGGCACTGAGGGTTTTGGGGTATCTGTCGGCAGGGCAGTTCCTGAGCTCCCAAAAAGCTGCCAGGGACCACCGCCGGCAGAAAACGGCATCCCGGAGGGTCCGCTTGGTCCTCCCAAGCCCAGCATTGGAGGGGGTGGACAGCGAGGAGCGGAGACACTTTGCCGCCTTCATGGACCAGCTGGGCACGGACAACATCTCTGAAGAGTAAGCCCCCCTGTTTAGCACCCATGGGTGTCCTGCTGGATGGGGCAGAGCTGCCCTAGGGGGAAAGGCTTGGGGCAGAGCGGGGTATTCCTCTCATTTGGTCCCCATGCAGGCAGTGAGCCCAGAAATGGCTTGGAGGTGCCTTTGCCCTCCAGCGCAGGGGCAGGGGACGGGATCATGGTCACCCCAATGCTCATCTTACCCCCAGGACCGCACGTCCTGAATGGTGTGAGCTAAATGACCCGGGATCCCACAGCTGGCCTGGCTTCGGAGGGTTCTGGGGGGATGCTCACCACAAAACACCCCTCTCCCTGCAGACAGGAGATCTGGCAGCTCTGGGTGAAGCTCCGGCAGGACGAACCCCAGCTCCTGGACAACCTGGAGGACTTTCTGGCCAAGATGAGGCACCGCATCCAAGAAGCCAGGAGCAAGAAGGAGGCTTTGGAGGTGACCCTGAACAAGTGAGTCACCCCAGGGCAGTGGAGAGGGATGGGACGGGAAGGATGGGCACAGGGATGGGCCCCCTGCTCACCCCAGCTGTGGAGACGCACCCAAGGAGGGAGAAACCTGGGTGCTTTCAGCATCTCCATCAGTGGCTGGAGCAGAGGTTTCACTGGGAGCCGACGTTTGGGGTTGGGCTCCCTCTACAGTCACGCACGGGATGGCAGAAGTGCTGGACTCAGACTGCTGGACACGTCCTTGCTGGGTGAACCCCTCCAGGCAAACCTGGCTGCAGCCTGCAGGTCCCGTGGGCAATGTGGGGTCCCAGGGATCTGCACCCACTGCGGCAGGGTCTGACCAGCCCCCTGGCCTTGCTGTCACTGGCAGGCATGTGGCTGTGCACGACAAGGAGGTGCAGCAGCTCTGCGAGGCCCTGGAGCAGCAGATCTGGCAGGAGCAACAGCAGCTGGAGCAGGAGGTGGGTCACCAGCTGCTCCTCTCCTATTGCTACCCACCCTGGGAGGGGACCCAGCACCCCCAAACCCCTGTGGCAGGTCCCAGACGGGCGAGGGGGTGCTCATGTCCTTGTTGCCATCCCAGAGCATGGCCCGGAGCCACCAGCACGGCGTGGAGCTGCAGCAAGCACTGGATGCCAGCGAGAGGGAGGTGCAGCGCTTGGTCACGGCGCAGATGGAGGTGAGCTGGCCCCAACCCCTGGTCCCCCATCATGTGTACGGGGTCTCTGGGCTGTGCCTGTATCAGCAACATGGCGTTGTACACCTGATCTTGGTCTGTCCCCACCAGCCCTTGATGCAGGTTGTCACATGGGACCTCCATCACCTCTCCTTTGCCACCCCCATCCCCACCCTCCCCTCCATCCCCAGAGCACCTGAGTTGAGTTTCCCACTCTCCACCCTCAGGGGGGAAAAGTCAGCCCCCGGTCTAGAGGAGATGGTTATCCATCATTCTTTGGCATGGGTCTCATGGGAGTCCTGGCGGGGTGTGAGTGTCCCGGTTGCTGTAACGCAGCTGGAGACGCGGTGCCGCAGCCTCCGCAGCACGCAGCAAGCCGCCAGCACCGAAAACCGCCAGCTGGAGGAGAGCAACCGGGTGCTGGAGAACCACCTGCAGCACCTCCACCGGCAGCTCCAGCAGACCCACAGGCGCCTGCGGACTGCAAGGGCCGCGGTGGCTCGGGAGCACACGGAGGAGCCTGGGTGAGTAGCTGAGTGACCAGCATCTCCCTCTGCACCTACGTGGTTTCCTCCTGAGGGCTGCAGTGGATGGGGAATGAGTTTGACGGGTCTCAGCCATCGTGGTGCTTTAGTGGTCTCCACGGTGCAGATTAATCGTGGTTTGGTGTGAAAAGCACCAGAAAAAAAGACAGGACTATCAGCATCATGCACTGAACGTGTCCCTGTAGGGCAGTGCCAGCAGAGATGGGGACGTCCTTCACCCAGAAGGACCCAACCAGGATCGACCCAAGGCTTGTGGGTTTTGCTGTCCTGCCCATTGCTGTCTCTGGGGCTGGGAAGAACCCTGGGGCAGGGATGGACACGGTGAAGAGGGGGCAATTGCCATTTTGACCCCTGTGCTCTGTGTCTGCAGGGACAGAGCGGTGACAGAGCTGCCCGGTGAGATGCCCCTGTCCCCACAGGTACTTCAGCTGGGTACGCGGGGATGGGCTGGGGTGTCTGTGCTCCAGGGCCTCACGCTGTTCTGTTTGGGACTGCCGGGGAGCCCAAGAACACAGGGTGCTTCTGCAGCAGAGGCAGTGCCTCCCCGAAAAGCTTTCTCAAACTGGGTCGGCATGGTGCCCTACAGATGCTTGGGAAGGGAGGGGGTAGCGGCACGTTAGTTCTGATGCCCCCAAGACTTTGGGTGGGTACGCCTGGATACCTTCCGGAGAGCTCAGCATCGCTTCACGTGGATATGCTTCCTTGCCAAGAGCTTCTCTCTCTTTTATTCCCACCCTGTTTACCGCAGACGAGTCCGGAGAAGAGCGAGAAGTACCGCTCCGAGATGCAGATCGGGCTGGGGTCCCAGAGCACAGAGCCTAAAGCCAAGCGCACCCACCAAGTGTAAGGGGTCCTGGGCAACAGCTGCCGCTTCAGCTGGTGCCCTCGACATCTGCGAGCCGGTGCTGAGCCCCCAAGTCCTCCACCCTCCCCAGGCAAAACGCGATATTTAGTCCTTTTAACGCTCCTTTCCCACCCACTCATCTCTCATCCCGGAGATCAGATCTCTTACCCCAGCTCGTCGTCCTGCATCACTCCCTTGGCTCAGGCACTCGCCGTATCTGGCCGAGAGTTGTCTTTTCATCTCCGATAATGTGAACACGGAGCCTGGGAAGAGGCACGCTCGCTTGCTGGGCAGGATACGGCCCCGAGTCTGGCTCCCTGGGTGTGCATCCCCCTTTCCCCTGTTCCCATTGCTGCCTGTACACCCGGAGGGTAAATACAATCGGGTTTGGAGAGGGATGGAGTGAGGTGATGGAGGAGAGAGCCCCCTGGGACTGGCCCAGGTGGATGGGAGGGAGCTGCAGCCCGAGCCAGGGGCTGGGCTGACCCCCCTCCTTTTTCTGCCCTTTCCAGGGTTTGGGAAATGCTGCCAGCAGAAATAAGCGTTTTGGGAGCCCTGCCGAGAGTGAGCTCTGTGGAAGAGGACCCCTTCCCAGAATTCCTGAAAGAGGAACGCTTTTCTGACCAAAGCTCTTTGCTAAGAGAGATGAATGATGCAATAGCGGCTCTGAGCAAACAGCTGAAGCCACAGGCACTGGGTGCACCCCCCACGCTGGCAGACACTGCCTGTCACCCCCGGGACGATGCTGAGCCCCAAATGGGGCCGGAGGCAGCCGCAGCCCATGGCACAACCCCCGAGGTCCTGCGAGAGACCCTCGTCGGCCACGTCGGTCGTGAGCTGTTTGAAGGAGACATGAAAGAGGGACCAGCCACAGCTGAGCTTCGTGCTCCAGACATGACACAGGCTGGTGCGTCCGTGGAAGCCAGGCACCGCAGGGCTCAGGAGCCAGGGGCAGAGCAGGGAGAGAGCCCGGAGGAGGCGCAGAGGATGTTACTCCTGCAAGGAAAGGGCACTGGTGTGAAGGAGCTGATGCTAAAGGCAGCTGAGCATCAGCAAGGAGCACCGGGAGAGAGCACGGAGGCAGGAGAGCAGGCGCTCGTGGAGGTGGAGGGAGAAGGATGGAGGCAGGAAAAAGCAGGTTGGGAAAAGGCACAGCTCCCGGAAGAAGCTGAGGATGCAGCATTAAACCAGGGAGAAGATCTGGAGGCGGGACTGGGGCCACCTGAGGCTGGGGAGGCAGGTCTAGCAGGGGGATGGCAGCTTGCCACAGATGAGTTTAGCCCAGCTGCGGCTCCAGAAGAGTGTGTGCAGCCCCGGGGCACAGGGCTGGGGGAAGAGGCTGACCCGCCCTCGGGGCTCTCCAAGAAACTTGAAATAAAGCCTGGAGAGCGCCTGGAGCCAGAGCCACCATCCTGGGGTGAGGCGCAAATGGGAGCAGCCCAGGGGGATGGTGTCCTCCCCGAGGTGACAGTGGCTCCTGACCCCGGGATGCTGGAGGATGAGCGCGTCTATGCGGAGGTGCAGCCCTGGGGAGAGACCTTAGATGCCGACGTGCCGCCAGCCCCAGCTCAGCATGGAGGGAGCAGCGGAGCTGGGGCTGAGGAAGGGGAGGTGGAGGTAACAGAGCCCAGGGAGGCAGAGCCGCGGCTGCAGGGTGAGTCTGCGAGGGGAGACGCAGCGTGGGGAGGGAGCGTGGGTGCAGAGGTGCTGCTGCCACCCACCGACGTGCAGGAAGGCGGAGCGGGGACAGATGTGCAACTGCTGGAGGCCCAGAGCAGCGATGCCAATGTGCAGCTGCTTGCAGAGGTGGAGGAGCTCGAAGCGAGCACGGAGGCAGATCTGCAGCCCCCAAGTGAGGCCAGCTCCCTGGAGACAGAGCAGGGAGGGAGCGTGGCTCCAGATGTGCAGCCACTGGAGGAGGATGATAAACCAGAGTTAGGGCTGGGGGAGGAAATGGGTGCTGCTGTGGTGCACAGTGAGGGTCCTTCCCCAGCAGAAACACCTGTGGGGAGCCCAGACCTGGGTGGGCTGTTCCTAGTGAAGGCTCAGGCACTGGAACTGGTGGGGGTAGAGGAATCTCAGGCAGACACACAGCTGCGTGGGGATCCCAGTCCAGAAGCTCCCCAAAGAGGGGGGGACCATGCAGCCATGCAGCTCGGGGATGAGGATGAGGGACGAGGGCAGGGCGAGCATGAGCTGCCACATGAGCCTGTGATAGATCTGCATGGGGCAGGATTCGGGCAGGGAGAGGGGGCTGGTGCAGAGAAGCAGCCTGGAGCTGAGGCCGATGAATGCAGCGCTGGCAGGGAGGACTCTGCTCCTCTGCCTGTAGTGCCGTTTGGGGAGCAGAGGCCAGGAGCGGAGGTGGATGGAGATGTACAGCACCCAGAGGAAGAGGGGGAGCTGGAACTGGTGCAGGGAGAGGGCATCAACGAGGATGGGTTGTTCCCGATTAAGGCTCAGGCCCTGGAACGGGTGGAGGCAGAGGACTCCTGGGCAGACACACAGCTGCGTGGGGGTGCCAGCCCAGAAACGCCCCAGGGAGGGGAGGGTCAAGCAGCCATTCAGCTTGGGCAGGAGGCTGAGGATGGGGCACAAGGACAGGGTGAGCATGAGCTGCCACATGAACCTGTGCTCGATTCGCAGGGAGCAATAGTCAGACAGGGAGAAGGGGCTGGTGCAGGTGTGCAACCACAGGAGGAGGCTGTAATCCTGGGCACGCTGGAGGACCAGAGCACAGATGCCAATGTGCAGCTGCTTGCAGAGGCAGTTGAGCTCAAACTGACCCCAGGAGGGAGCACAGAGGCAGATCTGCAGCCCCCCAGTGAAGCTGGTTACCTGGGGACAGAGCAGGGAGGGAGCGTGGCTCCAGACGTGCAACCACCGGATCTGGTCGATAAACCAGAGTTAGTAGAAATGGTGGAAGCAGAGGACTCCTGGGCAGACACGCAGCTGCGTGGGGGTGCCAGCCCAGAAACCCCCCAGGGAAGGGGGGACCGTGCAGGCATGCAGCTCGTGGAGGAGGCTGAGGATGGGGGACAAGGGCAGGATGAGCGTGGGCTGTCACACGAGCCTGTGCTTCACCCCCATGGAATGGCCATCGGGCAGGGAGAGGGGGCTGGTGCAGGTGTGCAGCCATGGGAGGAGGTTGTAATCCTGGACATGGTGAAGGACCAGAGCACTGATGCAAATGTGCAGCTGCTTGCAGAGACGGATGAGCTCAAATCGACCCCAGGAGGGAGCACAGAGGCAGATCTGCAGCCCTCCAGCGAGGCCAGCTCCCTGGGGACAGAGCAGGGAGGGAGCGTGGCTCCAGATGTGCAACCCCTGGGTCAGGTTGATAAACCAGAGTTAGTGGAAATGGAGGCAGAGGATGCCCAGGCAGAAAAGCAGCTGCGT